AATCGATTAATAGAGGATACGCTGTTTTTCTTCTTTTTTTTTCCTCCTGCAGATATATAGATACGCGTGCACACACGTGTTGTTTTCTTGCTCTCATTGCCCATTTTTACGTTGCTGCGTTACACCGTTATTATAACCGACGCGTACGTCGCTCGTTAGACATTAAGTTAATCGATAAATCGAAGCGATTATATAAGAAACCGCGCGCGCCAATCTTCAACCTTGTCATTTCGAACCGATGGCACGTACGCGGCGCACGCATATATATGCATATACACGACATACATACACACACATATATATATATATATATATATATATATATATGTGTAAACGGAAAAAAAAAGAATTATATTGACCACTTTAATTATTGAGATTTCAACAATGTGATAATGTATTAAAGTCTCACGCACCCCTCGTACTACCCCCTATAGTATGTATGTTACTTTCCGACTTCTGATTGTTCTACTGCCAAAGCATTTCTTATTATACGTCATGTTATATACACGGCAACATATTGTATGTATGTGTTGTAAGTGACTCCCTGCTTCTTAAAGTTTTTGTACTTCTTCTCCATTCGATTGGATACGCCAACGCTCCTGGGAAATGATTTTTGTCGCGTGACACATTATAATCATTAAATAAAGCGAACGTTACTTTTCAGTTTTAATTGCGAGACCTTCAATTATGCGCACCGTGTGTCACACGAGTCTCTCACCGCCAACGTGCGTGCGAACGTTAAGTACATCGCATTCACCCGAGGAACACGATTAGTCACGAATCTGCGGGCCCCGCCCGCGTTATCGCAATTTTAGGAGATTACTTTCTACCGTGTCTTTTATCCATTTCTTTTGCGCTACTTTACTGGCGACGTGATGCGTTATTTCAAATTTTTAATACATACAGCTTTTCATTTCGGCAGGAACACCGTGTCTGTTAGAAGTCGAGCGAGTCCTGCTACTTCAGATTGCATGCTAGAGGAGTATCGAACATTGGAACATTGCAATATTATTTCAAACAGCTTGTTTTTTGGTTTAAAACAATAAAATATTATGGAAAGACTTCTGAAAAAGATTATCTATTTATTTTACAGTCCAAGTCGCTACATCTCAGTGTCACAGAAGATATCGTTTGAACACACGGTTCTTTCGCTACGTTTAAATATTCGTAGAAGTTGGCGATGAAGTAGATTTCTCGTCGGTCGGTTTCACCAGTTCGTACTTTTCGGTAACTCCACCAAGATTATTTAAGTCTCTAACTAAACTCCGTATGTCGACTTTACGTGAGACTATCAGTTTTCGTTGATCCTTGCCCTGGCTCCGCGATTTAAGACCCATCGTTCGTGCAATTCTGAAACAGATTGAGACGTTGTTAGCAAACTTTTTATGATTTATGTTAATTTATAAACGATACATACTGATGAATCACCATTCTGTCTTCCTTAGGAAAATCCAAGAATACAATATTACTTTGAAGATGATTATCTGTTTGTAGAAGATCTTTAAACAGTTTTCGACATTTGCCTTTTATTTCATGTGTCTTATAAGGATTTGCTTTCAAGCCGAGACCTTCACGGTTTATCTGTGTTTTGACCCTGAAAATAAAAGACCCTGATAAAAATAAGAAAAGAGCACGAGAATAAAGATTTTCTAAAAGTTAAAGGATGACATCGTCATCGTTTGCTAACATTGCAGACATGGGTTCCATAATACCCTGTTCCGATTTTCCGAGACCGCCGCCAGACCAGCCCATCATTGTCATTAATTTCTTTCCAATACAGTTGGATTCTTTCCAATCATCGTCGGGAACAGGTTGCTGAGATTTTATTTCCTCTGTCGTTACAATTACATTTGTTTTTACTTCTAAGTCTTGTTTAACCTAAATTTTGTCACATGTAAAATTATTTTTAAAAAACACAAAAATATTTTATATAAAACACAACGAAGAACATTATATTTGTATTTCGCTATTCGCATCTATAATTTGTTATGGAACGATACAAATATGAAAGATATCACAACAGATCTTATTGAACATCCAGGTATTTTTTTTTTCCTTTACCTTAACCGTATAGCAGTGTTTTTGTAATTTTTGTAATACATCAACGGCTGCTAACTTTTTGGCTATTTTCTTAGTAAGGCTGATACTACATCCTAATTTTTGTGAATCAATATAAAATGAGCATTCCCTAAAAAAAAATATAATGAAAAATATCTTTTGAATATTCTATAATCTTTGACTTTACGCAACAATTTTTTTATAATAATATTCTCACCAGCCTTCTTCTGTCTTATCATACTTCCATTTTAAGGTCACGCCAGATATAGCAGCGGAAGCCTCCAGTATATTTAGTGCTGCATCACCCGGTCTTTCCCATAAAATAATGTTCCCATATGGATTCTCTAGATCTTTCAATGAGTCATCTGTTTCTGCTTTTAATCTTTTAGAAGGTATCTCTTCGATATTAGGAGTTTCGTAAGACTGATGATCTTGAGTGTCTATATTAGCTATAGGTTCTTTTATGACATTGGATAATAATTTCTTCTTTTTTTCTTCAAGTCTTTTCTCTTTCCAGGTAAGATGCCTTTTACATGACTGGTCAGTATGATTGTTTGTATCTGGTATATTATTAGAGACTTTCAATTTATAATCAGGTTTGTCCAAATTGTGATTAGGTGAATTCGATTTATAATTAGGCTTATCTGATATGATTTCTTCTGTGACAGTAGATGTTTTAGCAGTGCATCCTGTACAAAAACATTTAGTATAATCATCATATAGATACAATATTGTTACAAATCACCAATCACATTTAATACATTACATAAGTAAATAAAATTTCCTTGAATAATTAAGACACAGAACATTGTACACAACAGAACTGGAAAAAAAATAGAAAAAAAACATGACGGAAGCTACAACTCACAATTTTTCTTTATACCTTTCACCTTAGAGCTAGCTGCCTCTGACGCTTCCACAAATGTTCTTTGCAACTTTTTCTTTTGCTTTTCTCTATATTCTGCCGCAACATCCTGTGACAATTCCTTTACTAAGTCCATTGTTTCTTGTGGATATCTACAAAGAGTTCACTCTTATATCCACAGAATATAATATTTAAACTAACGACATATAGAAACTAATGACACATAGAAAAATATAAACAATAAGCAAACTGACCAATCATAGCGAAGAGTTTTCAAATAATTTCTACATTTTCAATAATTTCTAAATTTGATTGATCGATCTGCTCACTGCTAAAGTTTTTCTATGCTCTACCAGTAGCTCTATAGTGGAGTTTATATCACAATATACATGTCACGATAAAGAACAAAACAAGAATACACGTCCATCGCGCGATGGACGTACCTGCATCCTAACAGTTCCACGTTAACAAACACTTGGGCTAAACAAACAAGTACATCTTCTGAATATTTGTCCTTGTGTGCGAGCAGAAATTTACGCCGTAACTCCCAATGCTCGTCCGATTCGTATTCCACCTTGTGCTGCTCTACATCCCAATCTTCGTTCACGCTCATCTTTTACCTCCGGATCGCCTTCGTTAAATGCCAAGAAACTTCTTCAACACGATTCTCAGGATGGTTTGATTCAAGAATCTTGAACTTATTCTCTTTTTAAAAAAAAGTATCTTCAACCTTGTCTTTAGATTAATCAGCACGAAAAATCCTATTCTCACATCCAAACTTGCTCCACTGTATACAGGTTGGAGTGTGGAATATATTTGTTTATCGAAAAGTGTCAGGATGTGCCACGTTCGTGTTAGGTCGATGGCGCACGTGTCGATATTGATGAGTAAACGCGATTCGCTCAACGGCCAATCACCTCTGCGCACTCACGAAGTGGACGGGACGTGTAATTAGTTACGTTCAATAGAAACAAAAAAAAAAACAGCTATCAAAGATTTTTTAAAATATAATTGGTTTATACATTTAGAACTAGTGAGGAACTAAGGGCAAGAGCCAATCATATTCAATCGCTTAGCGAGCAGATGTTTTATGCTCGATGTGATGCGGACTTTAAACGGGAGCAGCTGTTTTAGATCTTTGAACCGACCCTAAAAAGACTAGAAACGTCAAATTATCACGTCACAGTATAAGGATTAGCGGCAGCGAGCTTTTGAATATCGGATTGTGGCTCGTGCTTTTGATTTACCTGTAGGTGCGATGCCGATTATCAATTAAATTTTCACGGACGAAAGAAAAGCGTGAATATTTGTAATCATGTCTAACAACAATGTCGCTCTGCCGAAAGCTCCAAAGGATTTGTGCTTTTCCGAGCTCGATTTCGTACAGGTTCGACGAGTATTTTTCTTTTCAATATTAGTTATATATTCTTACAGCTTTTATAAAGCTTTTATAAATTTAATATTCCCATTCTGTGCTTGGCGTCACAGGAGAATTTCGATGTTGACACCTTCCTACAAGATCACAGAAAGAATGACAAACTGGAGACGATGCGGGACGATCTTGGAATGTATTTGAAATTACTGAGATCAGCGATGATTGATTTAATAAATAGGGATTACACGGATTTTGTGAACTTGTCCAGTAACTTGATTGGGCTGGATAAGGCTATCAATGACTTGCAAGCACCATTGGGACAATTGAGAGAGGAAGTTATGGTAGAAATAGAAGAATATATTTAAAAAAAGATTTGAGATTATTAAAGTTTCAATGGATTGCATGTTACAATTAATTTCAGAAATTGTATTTTTACATAATTCCATATAATCTATATTAAATCTATCTGCATCTAATGACAAAGAATTTTATTTTGACAGCAAGTACGACAAACTTTAGACGATGAAATTACAGCTATTTCCACTAATTTAAATGACAATCTGAAGATAAGAGAACGCAAGCAAAGTTTGCACAGCTTGCAGCATGTATACAAGTCACTGAAGAAACTTTCCTCTATATTATGCATGAAAACGTTTATGGAAAATCCTACAAAAATCGATGTCTTGGAGCAAGCTGCGATTGAACTAAATCAATTGAAATTCCATATGTCCAGGTGTAAATCAGATATCTCAGTTGACCAAGAAAAGGTACATATTTTTTAAAAATAAATAAATGTTAAACTAAATAATAAGAAACGTTTATTTTATAATAGGAAACTATAGAATTAGAAAGCTTGTATATAACATGTCTGAACGAGTTATTCTTAGCATGCATACATGAGAAGAATTCGAGCTTGGCAATCCGTTGCCTCAGAGTTTACCTCACGCTCGATAAAATAGCAAGTGCCGAGGAACTGGTTAGACACGAGCTTGTGAGACCCTTAATTTACAATGTAGTTAACGAAAATAATCTACAAACCGACCCACTCGGCCTGCAAAGTATTTATCATAGATTATTGAACATTCTAAATGTAGAATTGAAACAACTATTAGATATCACATTACATCCTGAAAGGTATTCATACATTATTTGATCCTTTGTCTTACATGATTTACAAACACATTGGTTGTTACATCGATGTTACAGAATGTCCGTGAAAGGATTTAATTTCCTAGTAAATAGCTTTTGGGTTGAAGTCGAAGAAAAGATCGAACAGTACATAAAATCCATTTTTGCTCCGGGAGATCCAGTGCTATTTCACAAAGTAAAATATTTGGCAATATGTATATGATATAATGTTTTAAATATTTATAAGACACGTATATCTCAAATTGTTACAATTTTAGAGATATACAGCTACATTAGAGTTTTTAACCAAATTGGAAGCAGAGTGTGCTACGCCTGAAATTTTGGCATCACTGAGGAATCATCCGCAATACAAAGCTTTTCTCAAAAAGTGGAATTTGCCGGTATACTTTCAAATTCGATTCCAAGAGGTAGCCGGTACCATAGAGACGGTTTTAGCCGAGCCAATATCACCGGACTCGATCAAAGGTAATTTGATTTCGCTGACGCAAAAAGACTTCTCACTTCACGCAACTGATGCGGTTTGGGATAATCTACTAAGAATTTGGGCTGATGATATCTATTTGTTCCAACTATTTCATAAGTGAGTAACTGTTCTTTAATTCTATTTTTAACATTCACATTTTTGCATTCCTAATATATATTTTTGTAAAATAATGCGTTGTTATTATTAGGTTCTGGAAACTCAGTCTTCAAATAAATTCAAGGTATCAAACTTGGTGTCAGAGTGCAATGAAACAAGTACGTTTTCATGATTATCATATGACATTTAAAATGACGTGTAAAACAATTATACATAAAAACATACATACATACATACATACATAAAAATTGATCAACTTTATATTTAAAGGTATGGCCAGTGATAAATGAAACTAATAATTCAAGTAACTCAGAACGTTCTACAAGATTGAACTTTTTAGTGTATTTGTACATTGACATAGAGAAATTAATAAATACCCTGCCATCTTTTTTAAAAATGGTACAATCAAAAATTAAGGATGAAAATGCTACAATATCAAAATTATTAGAAGGTGATATGCATGAAAAATTTAAATGTCAGTATTATTCATAAAATATTAAAATTTACTCACGTTGATTCGAATTTCAGATTCTCTAGGTGAAACTTCAAAGAATTTAGCTAATCTTTTACCTTTAGTTACAAAAGAAATCGTTAATGAGCTCTCAGAGCAATGTGTAACACATTTGAAACAAGTTAGCGACATTCCTCGATTGTTCAGAAGAACGAAGCGAGATGTGCCAACTAAACCTTGCCCTTATGTAAAGAGCGCGATAGTTCCACTTAGCAATTTCTATGCGGATTACAACAAGCTCATTCCCGAAAATGTTATTCTTTGGTTGGAATTAACTTTGTCTTCTTTAACAGAAAAGTAAATGAGAATCTACTCTACTATCTCTTTAATAGTGTAGATTTGCAAAAATATCCGATAATATATCCAAACTTAAAAATTAAATTTAAATATGCATATAGTAAAAATGTTGGATTTTATTTTAGCTATTTATTGTTTGTCACGGATGTGTTAACATCTGTACAAAAAACTGAGGAGAGTTTAAGGAGGTTGAAAAAGATTCGTGATAAATCCACTGGAATTCTTCCTTCGGAACCACAAGGAACTAGCGATGATGAAAAAATACGTATTCAACTCAAGGTAGACGTGGACGGGTATACGAACATGGTAAGGAAATGTATTATATACATGTAAAATATGTCATCATATCTAATCGTTACTTCTTTTAGGTCAAAGATCTTAATATTTCTACTGCGAATATACATCATTTGCAGGAATTAGTAGATGCTGTGGAAACAGCTGTTAAGAAATGAGATTTTTATCAGAAACATTCTTTAATTGTAATCATAAAACATACAGTTCAGAAACGATTTGAAAACTTGTCATTTTGTCAATTACATTACTGTACGTCATTGTGACAATTATGTTTTAAAAACAGAATATAAGCTTCTCAAATTCGAATTATTTCAAAGTTGAATATTTATTATTTATTAGTTATGTGTAAGAATTTTCGTTGTATATACTCTTCCTATACAATAATGTACATAAAATATCTTTGCACAAATTTTATGTTGTATCTCTATTATTCTTACATTATTTTTCTTAAATCAACATCATGACAAAATTGATCGTGAATAATTAACGATAAAGAAAAAAAGTATCAAATCAAATAATTTTGCACTCGTTAACATGTTGATATATTAATTTTATAAAATTTATAAAGGCTCCTGTATTTCCTCAATGTAATACACAAAATATAAGAACAATCTGTAATAAATTTTAAATGTCCCATAATTCACGTTGCGGCAATTCGATCGTGTAACCTGTATCCTGATGGGGATAAGCAGGATCCCACCAATTTAGGATGCTGTATCCGATAACATCACTCAGTATTATTTCATTTGTAAACGTACTGGCAATATCCAATGTTCCGAATCTAAGTTGAAGTCTATGTTGTCTAAAGCTGGGCATTAAGTTCGCAGATACTGTTTGCAGGATTAATCCCGTTACTGGTGGTACCAAATTATATTTTAAACAACATACCTACACATAAATTATTAAATAAATTATATATATTACTCTAAAATGTTTACAATTGTTCTGAAAGTCCATGATAAAAAAATAGATCTTATGTTACCTTAAGGACTTTGCAACCATTCTCGGGATTAACAGCCACGTCTTCTAACGTTTGGAGAAATTCGGATTTTTTAGAATCACATTGTTCATTTTGCCGCCTATTACATGTTTTGGAAACTTCCTTAAGCTTAAAATAGAAGTACCAACGTATTTTTCCCTTCTAAAATGTCATATTAAGTATTAATGTACAGCATGAAACAACAATAAATCCAATTACATAAATATACAAAAAAGCGTATGTGTAAAACAACATATTTATTTGAACTTAGAACAGACAAAAAATTATTTGCAACTTACATGATGCCACATCAGAGTGCATCGTCTCTTCACGAGAGAATGTGGATCCTCCTGTCGCAAATAAGCTGTATTCTGTATTTCCCCTTCGGGCGTTCTAAAATAACTGTAATGTAATGCCCTGATAACACAAGCTCTTAATCCATGTAATCTCATACATTGTGGTTGTAGGCGCTCTGGCAAATTTGGTACAAATTTGTAATACCTAAAATTAGATTTAGATTGTACAATCATACATTGTGTTATAAATCAAAACATCGTTCAGTACATTAATGGCCATAAATATGAAAAATGTTATATTCCAGAATTATATTTAGAAAATATCAAAGATATAAACAGATTATAATTTAAAGATAATCTTTAAAAATAAAATTTATATCATATTATCAAACAGCATGATGGAGAATACTTACGATTTGTACAAGTGAAACCAAAATTTTCCAGTGGTAGTTACATAGTAAGAACTTTTACAAATCCTTGCAAATTTTCCTACCTCCTCAGGTTGTATGTATTCCGAAATAATAAACCATATATCTAAGGGATAGTTGATTCCTATTTAACACAGTATTTTTATTAAAAATAATATTTATATCTTAATAAATATATCTTATTTATCTAAATTATGATCTAAATTATCTGATATATCTTAATTTATATCTTAAAGAAAATACAAATTAATATTTTATCATCTATGATGTTGACTTTCTTGTTTAAAAAAATTAAAACATATTTCATTTACCTTCATCTTCATTATTATCCTGTGGATTTTTCGATTTTCTTCTATGTCTTCTTCCTCTCGTGTTATTGTTTAGTAAAGTTTCATCATTCATTTTATCCCACTCAGATTGATATTCTTCTTGTATTGTTGCTTCCTGTTCCACTGAATAAATAGATAATAAAATTACACTTCGTAATATAAAATAGAAAAGCATGAAATTGAATATTTAAAATTACTTTTAACAAGAATATTATACTCATACTTTTCCAATAAAGATTTAGTAAGTACATAAGGGAAACCATTTATTTTCTAACCTTCATTAGAGACATTTGTAGCTGATTTTTTCAACCTTAAATGTATCTGTAAAGTATTGGCGAAATCATCAATGGTAACATCTGTAAAATATAAAAACAATTATTCGTACCAAACGTAGACATAAGTAAATTAAAAAAAAAATTATAGGTTTTATTATATATATATATATATATACTCAATTTCCTGCCTCAGTTCAGTTTTCAAATTTATAACAGAAATTAATAATCTTGCAAATATAATTGACATTATCTCGAATTATATTTAACAAATGAAACAGAATCCGTTATACTTGCATTACATTTTTTTGCAGCCACAAATTTATCTTTTATAGAACAGTACGCTTACAGTGCATTTTTATTTCAAGATTCGAGTCTTAAATAACGTCTAGGGATATTAATAAGGCCATGTGATTTGTATAAAAACGGAATATGAATATCAGTCCAAATTTTTCGGATAAGTGTCGGATATCGCGTGGCGGCAACGATAAATTTATACAGCGATACAGCTGGTGAGGGTGGAAAGGGCACTTAACCTCCTACAAGATTGTCAGTCCTCGTCTTTCTCATCCGTCTCTGGTCCGCTTTTTTCCGCAGAGTGGACATCGTGGCGCGCGTCGTGGCTGAACGTGGGGCAATTTAAAAGCGTGCTAATTGATCAGGTACGCATTGCGTGGAAATAAGGATATCTACGTTATATACAAGTATGTACACTAGTAAAGTTGCCGCTAGACGCAATAGGCTCCCGCGCTCATCACGAGATACTGTTCGCGCGATCCCGCATCGCGGATCCTCTCGCTCGCTGCTCGCACGCCCCGCGATTCTCATAACCGCCGCCGACAACCGCTATCGGAAAATGGAAACGTAACGACGAAACATATACATGATATCACACAACACGGCTGTCAGGAAAAGCGGATCATGGCGACGCAGCCGACGCGGCCAACTGCGACCAACGATCGAAGGATATATGCACGTATGTATGTATGTCTATACGTATATATATATATATATATATATGTTTTTATATTTACATATCTTTTTAAATTGGCTGAAGTTTTTGTGTTTCATCCCCTTTCTTTTTCTATTCGATTTTTCGAATCGTATCTTTATTTTTTTTATTCTCTGCACAGAAGATGAAAAAAAGTGTAAAAAAAACTCAGACGTATCCAGTTGAAGATCGAAATTCAATTATAAAAGATATATAAGATTCTTTTTAACTAAATTTAAAGTACAAATTTAATCAAATAGTACATGCATATATGTATTTTATATAACTAAATTAAATATTTTTTATTAACAAGCTGTTATTTATTAATAAACTAATTTGAATATTTTTAAAAAATGCTACAGTTAATCTGAGAATAGTGGACGATCCAATCTTTTGAAAAACACTAATTAATATTATATTTATAATTTTAATTAACATAATTTATTAATTATACGTATTATAGATATTCAAGGACAATTTTTCATGTTAATTCGCATAAATAGTCTAGTGAATTATTAAAAATATATCACTCAATACGCAGCATTTACAACAAAGAGCGCATGTGTACTATAGACGACCAATCACAATGTACGACATTTTTTTACTTCCACATGATTGGTCAATTCTCCAACGCGCTCTCCAGCACGCAGATACGCAGTTTCGCGCAACAAGTTCTTTCTTCGATATCTCGTTCAATATCGACGCGCCGGCGGACGCGGCTTTTCGTTTCATTTGAAACGGTTCGAGAATCCGAGGAGGGCGAATGAAATCGCGCGCGCGGATGCAAATGTGAAAACATGCTCGGATCGACGATATTACGGAGGGCCGTGCTGCTCGTTGGCCTCGTCGTGACGTTCCATGTCGCAACGGTTTCCGCGACGCATCGACTGAACGTGCCCCGGGTCCTGTTGCCCGTGTTCAACAATTTCGCGGTGAATTTCACGCTGGAGGTCACGGATGGCGGTTGCTACAAATGGTGACTATTGGTTCTTTTCTATTTTCGTTTCTCGCGAGACACGGCCGAAGCTGTGAATCGTGTTGTCGTCGAAATCGGTAATCACTTCAAGTCACGACTTCAACTTTACTATGAAGCGTGAAGAATCTTTCATCACATGGCATATTGCCGGTGGTACCATAACCTCATCAATCGATTTCAGCTGAATGTAGCAGTTTTTTTTTTTTAATTAAAGATATGATTTTGTTTGGGACAGAACGCAAGTGTTCGCGAAATTAAAGTAAATTATAATTGTGACGTTTTAATTGTAGAAATTATATATCTATTTCGTTTTATCCCTACGAACTGGTTTTGTGTTTATATGTAATACAATTTGTACTTTGGAGAAATTTGAGATACGATCAATTGATTTTTTCTTGATGTTTTATATAGGTCAACCTCGCGTCTGGATATCATACAACTGATTCCCATAAACGAGAATTTCGACAGAACATGTTCTTCAGCAATAATGATTCAGACTATAACGAGAGAGCTTACAAGAAATACCGCAATTGTTTTGGCAGAAGATATTGGTTCAGGTCATTTTCTGCGTTGCGATGTTATAGTGGATGCAATTTTTTCTTTAAGTCTTATTACCACCACAAGGGAATTGTACATCGAGGATATACCTGAAGCGTTTGAAGTACGAGCGTACGATGAACATGGAAATGAATTTACAACTTTAGCAGGCATAGAATTTGTATGGACTATTGGTGATGCTGATAAATATATGTCATCTGATGGTAAATCCACTAGTAAGGTGTTGCGTTTCATGACCTATGAAGAATCACAATATGAAAGACCTGTAAGCATAGCTACATTAGATAGCATTGGCAAAAAAGGTCATATTGTCCTTATAGAAGGAGTCAGAACTGGCACTGCCAAAGTGTCGGTTAAACTGCCACATTCTGAGTATAGGCATGTTCCATCTATAGAACTGGAGTTGGTTGTAATTGCCAATTTAATCATCATTCCACCAGAGATAACGATAATAGCTTATGACAGCTTCAGGTACAAAATAATGCACACTCGTCGGGGTCGATTAGAGGAGATCAGTCTACCTTTAAGTCAATATTACTTAGAAGCCGAGAATCCTGATATATTGGAGATCGATAACGACTATGACGTCGCGTATGGTCGTAAAATGGGACGTACAAAAGTGTTTCTGCACGATAAGAATGTTCGCGAAGAATACCCGGTTATTCTACCCTCCGCTACAGTTAACATACAGGAAGTTTCGTATATTTCTCTCACTGTTTTGCCAAATAGAAACTGGGGACTGGTATTAGGTCACACTCATGAGATTGTTGTTGAACTGTACGATAGTAAAGATCATAAATTCCATATCGGAGAAGGTGTGGAAGTTTCCATGAAAATAGACGAGCAATATCTCGAGCCAAAATCAATTACTCTGAACGGAACTTATGCTGTTGTGACACCGATTACCTGCGGAGTAACGATTGTGGAGGCAACTTTGCGTGGTATAATTGATAAAAGTGGCAAAAGGATTATATTCAAACCACAATTATCTACCAAGGCCGAGCTCATGATACACACACCAGTAAAAGTTCAACCTCGCGTCTTAGTTGTTCCATGGGATATTGTGAATAGATCCAGGTGAGGATAAGGGAACTATTGATACAAGGAAAATAAATATATATAAAGGATTAATTAATAATATATATAATTTATTACTATTTTTTATTCTAGATTCGACATAATGTTAAAGGCGAGTGGAGGAGACGGATCGTACGTTTGGTCTAGCAGACAACCTTCGATATTATCCGTTTCGCAGAACGGTGGTATCAGAATTATATCAGCGGGTACGACAGAAATAGTCGTCGCGATGGCGAGAAATCAGCACAACAAAGACACGACGAAGATACACGTCTTACCGCCTGTAAAACTGAAGATTATTGAGTACAATATGGAAGCGGCCGTAGGAGAATCCATTCATCTGCACGTTGCTTTATATGGAATACTGATCAACGGATCCGATACCAAGGAAATACCGTTCAACGATTGCAAAGACATCGATTTTGAGGTGCATATTCAAGACGTCAACTTCGTGCGGAATTATGACAAGAACGTACAACCAATTGGCGCTGCGTGCGCCGTGATAACCGTGACGAATTACCGTTCCGTCGGGACGTCCGATATAACTGTTGCTTACAATGTGAACAACAACAATATGATCGATCGGTATTTAACAGATAATGTCACCGTGTCGGCGTACGAGCCGCTTGCAGCGATACATCCGGAAAACAAAGAAACATTGCTCGCTGTAGGATCTTCAAGATATGTGATGTTCAAGGGTGGACCACTGCCGTGGACGAACAAATCTCAGGATTATTTGCGGGAGATACATCTGTCGGACGAACAAATCGTCGAAGTAGCCGAATATGAAGACTCGTTAAGTGGACCGTTCGACAGGGCAGTTTTCAAGGTGATCTGCAAGGAATTGGGCAAAACGGCGCTGACATATATGGTGTCAAATGTGCCTTTATTCTCAAACTGTCGACGCACTCACGCGTCGGAGACGATTGAAATCATCTGCGGCAAGCCCAGGTACATCTATCTACGGCCAGAATTTAGGGGAACGCAGGATAAAAACTGCCCGATCGGACAAAACACGGACAAGATAATCGCGCACAGCGACAAGCATCTGAAGATCACCGTGATTGTCAAAGACGAAGATGGCAAACGGTTTGACAATATCACAAGTCTGAACATCGAGTGGAATTTGAAACCATCGGGCAGCGGTGCCGTGGAAATCCAATCCAGTACGATGGAAGAGACTCGGACGGATGCAAATGTGATTCTTTCGAAGAATCATTATCAGAACGTTATTTTCAAGAAGCATCATGGCACTCTCGCAATATTCGCAACCGTGACCGGCTACCAAAAGCTCGTACTCAACAGATTGAAGATTACGCCGGAATGGCCACCGTTTCCCATCGAGAACGAAAGAGGCGGGATCGAGACTCCGCTGATAGAAGCCTCCATAGAGGCGACTTTGGTCAATGACACTATTGTCAGTCCCGATAAATTAATAATTCTAAACGATTCGAGCATGAAGTCATATTTACATGTCAGCCAAGGCTCCGGTTACTATGATCTTATCCTCAGCTCAAAGGAGGTAGCGGATATTCGATATATGGACACAACGAGAACGATCAGCGTGACGCCAAGGAAGCCGGGGGTGCTTCATATAACACTGATAGATCTTTGTCTACCCTCGAAGTTGGCAGAGGTGCAGGTGGAAGTCCAACAACTCGCAGCGATTGACGTGGACACCGTGGATAAAATTGAGAAAGGGAAATGCGTGACGGCCGCATTAAGACTTTACGATACGAACGGTCACGTCGTGAAGCTGCCGTCCCTCGGCGCGCTGGATTTCCGCGCCGAGATCGACAACGAGCACGTCGAGATCAAGCAATTGCCCGCCAACGAGCAGACTATCCCGCCCTACGAACAAATACTGTACAAGATTTACGGCCTATCGGAAGGCGAGAGTCAGCTGACATTCGTGAAGGCTGGCGATCGTGAGATACGCAGCGAACCGATCACCGTACAAGTGTTTGTCCCGTTGCGAGTGCAGCCGACGAACCTGACGATACTAATAGGCACAATTTATCAGATGCAAACCGTTGGCGGCCCGCCGAACGCCGAGATTGAATTCTCGACGGAAAGCGGCGATATCTTGCGGGTTGATCGCAACGGGATTCTCGAGGGAAAATCAGCGGGCCAGACCGGGATCCGCGTACGTGCCGTTGGACTCGACGCCAAGGGCAACAAGATCGTCTATTCGGAGGATCGCGCCGATATACATGTGCTGCATCTCGAGGGAATAAAGATCTCGACTCCGGTGAATAGAGTGAGGGTGGGCGCGACGTTTCCTCTCTGGGCGTTCGGCATCCCCGATTACTTAACACCGCTCATCATCGGCTCGATGCAGCTGCCACTGAGTTTCGCATGGTCGTCGAGCGATCCTGGTTTGTTGAGCTTGCACAACATGTACGAGGGCACCGGTATCAATATCAGATATCAGAATCAGGTGTCGCTGCGGGCCAAGGCCATAAGCTCGGGCATGGCAACGATCTTCCTGAATGCCACTGTGCCCTGCAACATGCTGTCTGGCTTTAATAAAAATGACATCACGTACACTACATTCGTGAAGATCGAAATCTTCGAGGAGTTGCGCCTGACTAATCCGCCGTCCTCGGGAAATCCAGGAATATCGCGGATATTGATGTCACCGAACTCCATCCTACGGCTGCAAACCAACCGTGACAGACACGGGACAACAACTTACAAAATCCTGTCGAGCACGCATGGCGACGAGTCCGAGGATTTTCACACCTTGACGTCCGCTACGAAGGCTGTGACAGTGGACAAGAACGGAGTCGTGAAATCTGGCGAGAATTGTGGCCAAACAATTGTCTCCATTACAAATACGGAGACGTACAACTTGAAACAATCGTTAACAGTGGTGGTCCAAGTCAAGCCTATTCATTACATGATGCTCTCTCTGAAGTCCAAACTGCGCATACGAAGCGGCGAAGAGCTGAATATGTTACCGAAGGGAATGGAACTGGATTACGTCATCGAGTATTACGATAACGTAGGGAATAAGTTCGACGCTGCTGAGATGAATATTAGGGCTATGCTCAATCGCGCCGATCTGGCGTCGTTCGCCACGGGCACCACGGGTAATGTCATCACTGCCAAGTTTCTGGAGAACGGCGAGTTGGTCGTGAAGATCTTCAATGAGAAGCATCCAAATGGAATGTTCGACTATGTTCATATGATGATCGGCGATATCGTATTTCCGACGAAGACTACTCTGACTGTCGGCGACATAATATGTTTCTCTATGCCGTTACTCTCGTCCGACGGCGATCCAGGATATTGGCAATCCTCTGCGCCTGAAATATTGCTGGTGGATCCCATCACGGGCATAGGTCGCGCGCGAAACATCGGCCACACTGTTATAAAGCACAGCCTCGCGACTCACGTACAAAGTGAAATAGAGGTCAATATTTTACCAGTTGCAAAGGTAAGTTCAACGGAGAGATACGATAACACGATGTGTTTTACTGTTTTATGTGCACCATAGCGATGTGCTTTACGATATATCGTTCTAGATTGATTTTTTTTTTTATAGATATCCATTGTTCCTTTGAGAGGAAGGAACATTACTGGCACAGAAACATTCAGCGTACCGCTTGTACTGAAGAGTAAAGACGAGGAAATTAAGGAGAACAACGTGTTGGCCAGGGGCTTAGGTGGTTGCCGGACATTATCCTCGTTCACATTGAATGCGTTTCCCTACTCGTGTAACATTCAATTTGTCTCGTCGAGTTTTTCTGTCGGCGTGAGAGATATATTCCTCGTGAAACCACGATTTGATATCGTGACAGGTCGGTGCAGTTTTACGCGTAACGATGAAAGATCGTTTTATTGTAATAATCCTTTTTTTTGTATTTATTATAGGTTTTTATTACTGCGACATTATTCCGATGAGCTCGCCGACTATAGTCGCCAGTATATTGGAAAGTCGTATACAAATTAATGTCCAGAATCGGGATATCGAGTCTGCAGCTCTGGAACTCACTTATTTACCGCCTGTATACGTCGATGCTAAAGAAATCATATTTCTTACTACACAAAGTTCCACTGGTGTGTTGTCGACGACGTTCGAAGTGTACGGCTTGCCGGTGGTGTTACAGCATCTCACTGTAAGTTGTTTATTTAAAAGAGCAGTATAAAAAAATATATATTTTTTAAATCTATAAAAATCTTAGTCTTGAAAAGTGACGTAAGATTAGAATTATTTAAACATTCCTTTTTGCTTTCATTAAATTATTTATTTTTTTGTCGAAATTTTTTGGAATTTAAAGAAAGATCTTACAAGCATAAAATATGTAATATTTGTTAAATATTAAAGTTATACATATTTTTTTTCCTATATATTTATGAAATAATACCGTTAATACTTTTTTTTTATTAGATTGATGTACCAGATGGTGTGGCCGTTACTTCGCAACAATACGTCTCTAAATCTACACTGCAATACAGATTACGTTTGATAGATAATCAAGATGAGATTCAGGGGCAAAAAGTATTCATTGCAAATGATTTGACCAAACAAAATGTATCTGTAAGTAAGCTGCATGTATATTTTAGACATATTTATATGACTGACGTTAGAAGCAATCGTTATTTTATAACATCACGTGTTTCTTTCTAGCTTCGCATCCGCGTGTCGAGATACAATAAATTCATTCCCATATCCGGAGTGCAATGGGTAAATTACATGTACTTCCATAGATATACACTCGGAACATTCGCCGTTATTGTAATCACGATTTTCTACGGTAAGACTGAATTCGAGTTTTCTGAGCTTATGCATTTTTATCATAGCTAATCTGAATATTGCATTTTCTAGTTTGGAAACACAAAGTGGCGAGTGTCGATTTAATAGTCAGGAATAAAACCGTTTTTGGTATGTACCATTTCTTTTTTTTCCTTCCATTATTTTACGCATTGACGTTAACGTTTAATATTACGTTATTTATCTTATCTTCTTCATTATATAGCATTTGTAATGATATTTTTTATAGCTGATAAATCTCCACCGATGATAAAGAAGCCCATCGGTATTCCATGTACAACTCCGATCATCACTCCGATCACACCTCCGATCACCACTCCGAGTATTAGCCCACGAACTCCGCCAAGGCCTTTCTCAGCATTCGAGTCGTCTATTTACGGTGATCCGCGTAGTTTCGGCACACCATATATCAGAAGAAGAGATATATGTGAATAGAATGACTGAATACAGAAAGTAATTCTGAATTGTTGACAAAGATTTGTTAGAAAATAACGTCCGCTCCGATATTAAACATTACAGTAAAAACTTGTTTGAATTGAGATAATCCATTTCATAAAAATGGCTTATTTTTGCCAACGTAAAAGCTGTTACAAATATCGTAACTGATCTTTATTCATTACAAATATATAGTCATCGCAAAATCGTGCCTTAAACCCTAAAGCCATGTCATCACAATATTTTGGTGCATGGAAGCAATCTTTCTAGGAAGGAATAGGCTCGATTTTTGTATAATACATGTATCTTCGTTTGACATAGCATATACGGAATGTTTCTAAATTTTTTATACATATAAACTTATGTCTGAAAATGCATATCATTAAGGTAAACGTTTCAGTGCCCAAATTCAATCGTGAATGATGATAAATGATGAATGTTTTTAATATTTTAATATTTTTTGTAAATATTGTAATATTTCTGATTTACTAGTCAATTAGAAATAAAAATCCATTTCAAATTTTGTTGAATCTAATCTTTCGATAATAATTTTTCTTCCCCGCATTTTTGGACGTTCATTTATATTAATTTTACTTATTGTTAAGAATTTACATCAGAAATTGGATTTTATATTGAAGAAATTTAGAAACACTATATGTATGGCATTATATTTTGTGATGTGTGCGTGTGTATGAGCGTGTAAAGTTCATAGATAACATTACTATGATACACGATTCTCCGTGTATTATCTTCATTTTAATAATGATTTAAACAGTTCCTAGTCATAAAATCACATATTTTTGTTTAAATATAATGAACAATTAGTAAATAAAATAGGCAACTAGTTTGATGTACATATGTACATGATGTACATATGTACATGATGTACATGATGTACATATTATCACAGAAAGAAACCTTATTTTTTTATATTTTGTAAAGCTGTGATATATGCACATTTATAGGATACATATATAACAAAATAATGATCTTTCAAAAATGTAAAAATATAATTTATGTTGATAGCTTAAAGTTACTCAAGTAAAAACATCCGAGAGATTAGTTTCGATATGCGATCTAGCGATCTCGAATACAATGTAAGAAATGTTGAAGAAACAGATATTTCATAAAATAAAAAAATCCAAGATTCCATCTTATTCCATAAAATTGGATATTAAACCGTGATATTCTCATTTAGAGGGCTGAAATTAGAGAATGATAAAGGAGAGAATATTCTTAAATAAAATGCGATTTTCATAAATAGCGTTACGTTTATTACAAAAGTAGTATATGTAATGGAACAGTCGTGTTTCTTATGATATAAGAAAATTTATAAAGTGACCTAGAAATTTCTGAAAACGACTCTAACATATATATAATCAGTGTTTTTTTGTATTCTTCAGCAGTTTCTCGTATTTACATTTACTCGAGTACCATAAAGCGAATGGAATGAGCAGAGAAGGTAGAGTCATCACAGCGAATGCGGCCCAATCAACCTACAAGAAACAACAAAGCAAGATTATATTAAGGCGATAAAATATTAACTTTAAGATATATAAATAGATTTAGATTTCAACTTAGATTTTAGATGATAATAATTATAGATTTGTTATAAAAATATAAAAACGATATATGTAATTAAAAAAATAATTTATAATCTTACTCGGGAAGAAAGAACAGGATGAAATATTTTAAGTTGAAAAATATAAAAAATATAAGGTTAAGTTAAAAAAATAATAAAAGAACAATGTAATATACATTGCAGTATATATTCTATTGCTCTTTTACATTTTTATCTATATATATATGTAACATAGAAGACTTCATGCATTTTCATATTATTATACGTATGTAATTATATTTCTTTTTTTCTAAATAATCTATATAAGATTACTTTCCTACATTTTGTAAATTTATAAATATTTGCTCATATTTACCACATGAGATGAGAACTGTTTATCATAATCTCTGTATGCCACAATAAGTCCCTCGCCAGGCTCGCTGCTTACAGCCACTTGTAGTCTAGGGGCATCTTCCTTGCGACGATACAAAACTTCTGCTGAGGTGAAGTTGAAGTACCCGAACTTGCGTGGTCTCACAACCACAGTGTGACTCACATTAGTATAGGGTGGTACGCGGTCAATCCTAGCATTCAACTCGCCACTCACATGAGTGAAGTGATCTGGATGGAACGAATTATCTGTGATCTCGACTTCCAATGCTGCGACATTGCCAGTATTGTAAATAGTGTACTGTAAATTTCGTTTTTGTAATATTAGTAATGTTTTATTAATATAGACATTTGGATAGTATTAAGAATATTTATTAAAATTTATTAAAAGCATGTCGTAATAAAATATTCAAGATATATATAAAAAAAAATCTTACCTTAATAACTATGTCCATATTTTCTACCAAATATTTATTGAGTATTTGTTTAGATACCAACAATCTGGCAGCCTCTTCCTCCTCTTCTGCATATACAGATACGCACAAGGCAGCAAATGCTACGAGCAAGATAAACCACTTCATCCTGCAGTATTAAAGCTTTCATTAATTAATCTGTGATTAGTTCTTACAGCGAAACTTACTACCAATACTTGTAAATTCACCGACGTCAATTATCTATTCATAAATCATGACACTTTATGTCAATTTTATATAAATTTATCCATCTACATATGCATGTCAACAGATTTGCTACTGACTGTAATTGTGAGTTTT